AGGACTCAGTCAGGATACATACTTGGAAAAGGTGCTAAAGCGTTTTAGTATGGAAAATTCCAAGAAAGGGGAGTTGCCAATCCAAAGCAATACCAAGCTGAGTAAGACTCAGAGCCCGAGTACAGAGACAGAGATAGCTGATATGAGCCGAGTACCTTACGCTTCCGCAGTAGGCTCTATCATGTACGCTATGACTTGTACTCGCCCTGATGTGGCCTTCGCTTTAAGCATGGTCAGCAGATATCAGGGGAATCCTGGTAGAGCACATTGGATTGCAGTTAAGAATATTCTTAAGTACCTTCGGAGGACCAAGGAATGGTTTCTAGTCCTCGGTGGGAGTGATGACTTAAGGGTACGAGGGTACAGTGATGCTAGTTTTCAGACGGATCGGGATAACTTCCGATCGCAGTCGGGCTGGGTCTTTACCCTAAATGGAGGAGCAGTGACTTGGAAAAGTTCCAAGCAAGAGACCGTAGCTGATTCAACGTGCGAATCAGAGTATATTGCGGCGAGCGAAGCGTCAAAGGAGGCTATATGGTTGAAGAACTTCATTGGAGACCTTGGAGTTGTGCCATCCATAAAGGAGCCCATGGAAATTTTCTGTGATAATGAAGGAGCGGTTGCCTTAACCAAGGAACCAAGGGATCATGGCAGATCTCGACATATCGACAGGAAATACCATTTTATTAGACATCGGGTAGAAGAGGGACTCCTCGTTGTGAAGAGGGTATCGTCAGAAGATAACCCAGCAGATCCCCTTACGAAGGGACTGAGTAGGGTCAAGCATTTTCAGCACGCTAGGAGCGTAGGGCTGAAGGACGATATTAGTTTAGATTAGATAGGTAGGAAACTTGTAATAGATAATGTCATATTCAACAATTGATGATTAAATAAAAGTGTGTTATTTATAAGAAAGTTTCTATCTTGTGTTGATTATTTATCTATTTTTCCGATTTTTGCATGTTTTGACTTCCTGAATAATGAGATTATTCGAACAGTCCACAATCGCTCATATGTTGGAAGTAGATATGAAGAAAGATTGTCATAAATTTGTTTGTAGATTGTCTGAAAAGTTTTAGACATAGCAAAGGTTTGCTGCAAAGTTTATGAGTGCTTATGAAATTAGTATTGAGCATTGGAACAGACCCACACTTGCTGGTATTACTTCATGAATGTCATCACAAGTGATCGCAAGATGATAATATCATATAATCTTTAAACCTAGAGATATGGTTATTGTTTGCTAGTTGATTATACATTGATAATGCGAAAACGCATCAGTAACTTGATGTTATAAAACGCATTATTGTGTATGGTTTAACTAGTAAATGATAAAGGCATATTAGTCGACGTTTTTCTGTTCCTTTTATTCTATGAGGATAAAAGCGATATCTCGGCCACTTGATGATTTGGTTTGACTTATGTGCCGGGCCCGGTCAAGATGAAGTTGATGTGTTCAACTGAGTTCTATGTCGAACGAATCAGAGATCAAGAAACAAAATGCTGTACGATAAGTATTGTTAGCATGATATCTAGAACAGAGGATTATACGATCCCTTATCTAAAGGACAAGTTATTGGTCAGAGTTGACAGCGGCTATTGAAAGCTACGATTGCTATCGGGTACGGAAGTAATACGTGAGATATAGTTACTAGACTTATCCAAGTGGGAGACTGTTGGATTAATGTCTAAGTCAGTAACCATATTTGGTATATACTTGACCCGAGTGTGCATGGTCCTTTTGGGTTGCCTTCACCAAAGCAACTTGACAAGGTAATTTGATATGAGAGAGGAGATATTATGATTTATTAATATATTATAAGAATAATATATTAAAGGAGAAATCATATTTATTTAATTAGTATTAGTCATAAATTAATTAGGAATTAATTTGGTGACTAAAAGAGATTAATTAAATAAAGGGGTATAAACTGTCAAATGTGTGATAGTTGAGTTTTGGGCTAGGAAACCTAATGGACTAAGGGGGAACGAAATTATGATGAAGGATCATCATATTTTCGTCCAAGGCCTCATTCCATAAGGTTTCTTGGGCTGCTTGGTGGCTAAGCTGTCCATTAGGGTTTAGACTAAAACCCTAGCACCCTATAGTATAAATACATGCCCTATGCTTCAATTTGAGGCCACTTGATTCCAAGGGAACCCTAGGGCCGAAATTAGCATCATTCCCTTCTCTCTCTTAGTTGCCTTCTTGCTTCAAGGTGTTTGTGAGCCATTAGAGGCACTACAATTGTGGTGCTTGCTTTCAAGAGTTCAAGAGAGTTCAAGAGATCAAGGAAACTAGTTGTTATTACTATATAACAACAAAGGTATGTCTACTACACTTCTATGTAATTTTCAAAAATTATAGAAGCATGCCAGGGTTTATTTTGTGTTCATAAAGTTGTATGTCTTATAGTGAAAACATAGATCCAACTAGGGTTGCATGCACACATAGGATTGTTTGTATTAAACCTATCAGTATCCGGTCGAGAGGACCGAAGGGGTAGGTCGGGCACCCAAATATGCCTGACAATTTATGTATGTTATGTGATTATATGGTATGTGGTACAATGGGGGAACTCACTAAGCTTTGTGCTTACAGTTTACAGTTTTGGTTTCAGGTACCTCTTCATCGAAGGGGAAGGAGCTGGCGCGGTAGCGGCACATCATGCACATACGCTGGTTTCCGCATCTATTAGATTTTTCTGGGATTTATACTCTGATATTTTGGTCAACATGGACTGTTGACTTTTCTATTGACCACGGGTTAACCAGTTTTACTTCTAGGGTTATTTTGGTAATTTGGGGATTTATGGAATTGGATCATTGATGGGTGTAGGTGCTGGTGTTAGAGCTGTATTTGGAGGAGGTTGATATTATCATTATGAGCTATTTGAGAGGTGAGTTGTCCTCACTATACTAACAGTGTCAAAGGCACCAATGCCGACCCTTTTCGGATTTGTATCAGAGTTTATTGCATGTTATGCTTTATGATATGTATCCTAGTTATAGGATGGTTGCTATGTTAGAGAACGGTTAGATCAATATCCTGGTTATAGGATGGTTGCTATGTTAGATATCGGTTAGATCAATATCCTGGTTATATGATGGTTGCTATGTTAGTGATCGGTTAGATCGATATCCTGGTTATAGGATGGTTGCCATGATTAGTGACCTGTTAGATTTGTATGGCTATTTGTTTATATGTATGAGCACATGTTTGTTGGTTTGGGGGATTGAGTTGAGACATGTCCTACTTTGTGTTGTAGGCCAAGATACCCAGGGCGGACCGGATAGACTGCAGACCCGGGAGGGTATATAGTCAGGCCGAAGGCCAGATAAGCGGTCCGGATAGGCTGAAGGCCCTGCGAGGTGGTCTAGATAGACTAATGGCCTGTGGCGCGGTCCAATCAGACTGATGGCTCATTATGCATGTTGTATTTGTTTATATAATATGGTTATATCTGTATGTCGTTGGTATTTTGGGGGAACTCACTAAGCTTTGGACTTACAGTTGTTGATTATGTTTCATGTACCTCTGATGATCGCGGGAAGGCGAAGGCGTGATTGTACAACTCCTCATATTTCATGATTTATTTGATTGCTTATGGGATACTATGATATTTAAACTATTTTGAAACAAATTGTAATAACTTAATGGTTTTAAGTGTTTTAAAAAGTTTTAAATTGGCTTGAATTTTTGTGGATGTGACACTTAAGGTGTTTATATAGGGTACAACTCGTACACCTAACGTACTCCTCGTACGCCCAACATACTCCTTGTACACCCCAACATACGAGGCCGAAGCTTCGCGATCAAACTGCTAACTACGCTCAACATATGCCAAGGTACGCCTCGCGTAAGGGCCCTCGCACGAGTACGCCCTGCGCACTCCCCATGTACCCCCTTGTACTAGGTTTTTTCCCCAAACCCTAAATTCTTCCGAAGGCCATAACTTCTTCATTATAAATTCAATTCTGACGATCCTTATATCCATGAAAAGGTAACGAGAGACTCTACACTTTTTTTGTCTCATAATTGACTTAAAATTTCTTGAATAAAAATCCAATTTCCATCAAAGTCTAAGCCGACCTTTACCAAAATACAAATCGAACCCCCGAATCATCTATATTTACATCACCCATATCCAAAATAGGTCCAGATCTCATTTCCTCAACGATCCTGAGCTTGATAATTCTTGAAATTTGGTCGTTACCTCGAAATAGGAAACAATTCGGAACAAGGTGTTTCACAACATGATTGAAAAGTATTTTTGGACTACCGATTTCCTTAACAATAGATAAAATCTACAAAGTTGATGTAAAAGTTGTTAGTGTATTTGCATACTCATAACCATTTGGTCTATTCTCTAACTTGTCGACCTAATCATATTAGGTTTGTATAACTAAGGAGTTTATTATACTTACTCATCAATATCTAGCCCATGAATGACATCTTATAAGAGTTGTGAGGATGATGTACTCATTGACCACAAAGAAGACATGACCAGAACATGCCAAATACAACAAGTTAGTGGGTGGCACATATCATGAAAGGCATACTAAGTGTGGTATGTGATTGGGCCTTTATCCGATCTTTCAGATAAGCCACAATCCTTTGGTATTTAAGGGATATGATCCCCCATTTAATGTAGTTTGACTCTGGGTGATCTCTCGAGGTTACTTGTTTTTTTTCGTTCATACGAAGAGCCTTGATCTTAATGCCAAGTAGGCTATTGTAGCACCATAATCACATGTGTGTGTACAAACCGTGAGAGGGGAGCTAGATTTGTTCCTATTTTTTTGTTAGGTTGTATTTATACTTTTACCATGTTTTTATATCTTTTTTGCATCGAAATAGTAAGGTATTTTCGGGATTGTACATATATTTGTGTTGTTTACTTAAGAGCGTCATGAGTCGTGGGATGCAAAGCTTAATTCCATTGCTCTATTTGATAAGTCTCCCCAAAATGGTATTTTTGTGATTTTATTTATTTTAATTTTACTTAGGGTGCCGGGTGGTCTTCTTTCTAGCAGTGCAGTGGACCCAATAACACACCAGATTTTCCGCGGGTATCCCTTCAGGGTGATAAAACCCTCTGCGTACGCTCATCCCTCCTCCATTACAACTTACAACTTACACCCTTCACTTCACTCCTCCTTCCGCTGCGATCGATGATGGTCTCCACCTCCAAATCCACCGATTCCTCTAATACCAGAGTATCCTCTCTCTCGCTCTTTCTCATCATCTTTTTGTTCCTTGAATTCACACAGACACGCACCTTGATTGATCACTCGTATTCTAAATGCACAGACACTTTTGTATTCTCTTTTCTATTATGTGTGTATGAATTTGGGGCTTGTTGATATAATTCAATTGATGATCGATCGTAACTTCTTAAAGTTTCATGCCTTTGCGTTACATAATTGACGATGATCATTTTTCACTTGACTGAGTTGTTCTAGGATGGGAGGTTGCTATATGACTTTCTTCTTTCGATACTTGACGCCTCCAGTTGACTGAACCGGTGAAACTAAGAAAATTTTGAATTTTAACTTCAATTGGTACTATTTTGAATTGCGAACTTATTTGGTACTAATACTAAAAATTATATTCTCCTCTTCTCTTGTTCGCTGTTTGTGTATAATTTCTAAGGGTTCAACTTTATACTTAACATGATACTCATACTGATTTTGTAACATCATCCCTTTAAGGCTTATGGCTTGTGCTCTACTTCCTTTGTGTTATCATGGAAATTTCAATCCTTTTGGTTTTCCGGAGTGATGCACATCTATATAACTGTTGAGTCAATACCAGCTGGTGGTTCTGAAGCATAGTCGAATAACTTTTACTCCCATTATCAAACAGCTCAATCTGACATGATTGCACCTGTGCTACCTGTAAAAGTGGCCTATTTACCCCAATCATTTCTTTTTGAATTTGTTCAATTAAGGAGATTTATAATGATAGTATTTTTCTATGAGTCCACAAGAAAAATGCATCTTGAATCTTAGAATGGAGGGACTATTACATTTCCATGCTTGATACACTGTTTGCGGAAAAAGAAAAGCAAGGAGCATTGGTTGAAGAGAACTATATTTCTCCAATACTTCAAATATTGCTTAAATGCATAGTGAAGATTTTTGTTTCAAATTTTATATCTTGGTGTTTTGTTTGACTATTGGAAACAGTAGACCAAAGTTGTATTTGTATATTAATCATTTGATACATTTTGTTGTCCTGATTACCATCCTCCTTAAATTGACAGAATTTGCGGGGAGAGCAATTTTCTGGTGATTTAGGAATCTTAACATCAAGGATAAATCAACTGAAGAAGCAGATTGAAGCAGAAAGGGCTCTTTTGATTAAAGTGAGTTGATACCTGTTATGATGTACTTTGTATCATGTAGTTATTGTTTGTGTTTGTTTTCATCATCTAATGGCATCACCTAACCATGTATCACCCAGCAAGTGCTCATAAGAAATAAAGTTAGTAAGTAAAAGTAGTTACCATTTTACTGTTGAACAGGAAAATGTTGAGAAGAATAGAGAGAAGTTAAGAAGCGATGTTTCTGAGCTTCTGTCATTAGCTATGCTTAGAACTGATGGTTCGTCTGATGGAGAGGGTAAGATGCTTTCTTCAAGGATTAAAAATCCCCTTTGCCTTCTTACTGGCCAAATATCAAGTGATGATAACACCAACACCACCACTCAAGAAGCAGCTATTTCCATAAGTGCTAAGCTACCACCTGCAGATAAAATACCACCTTATACTACTTGGATATTTTTGGACAGGTTTTTCATCATCTCTACTTTCTTTTTTAAATATACATAAACAGGAGAAGATTACTGAACCAGTTTCTTTTGCTTTTGGATCACAGAAATCAGAGAATGGCTGATGACCAGTCAGTTGTTGGGAGGCGACGTATCTACTATGACCAAAATGGAAGTGAAGCTCTCATCTGTAGTGACAGTGAGGAAGAGATTACTGAACTAGAGGAAGAGAAACACGAATTTTCTGAGGCAGAAAATCGCATCATGAGGTTAGTTGAAATATTTTAGCTCAAACATAAATAATCATTCATGTAGGTCTGAAAACATATCATTACATGCTGAATTTTGCAGGACGATTTGTCAGGATTATGAGCCTAGTGAGGAAGTACTTAAAATCTTGACACAACATATCGGTGGAAATACTTCAGAAATCTATGTACTCAAGTTGCTTCGATATCTTCTTGATCAAGAACTCATGTTTTCCACGTCAAATTTTACTTTTTACTACTCTTCCATATACTTGTTACAATATTCTCTTTTCTTGCTTCTTCTGTGATGTAGGAGGCATGTATCATGCTGAAGACAGAAGAAGAAGAAGAAGAAAACCGAGATGTGTGTACTTCTACAGACCATGAGCATCATAGGAACATATCTCTGGACAAAAGCCTTAGTGCTTCATTAGATTCTCTTGATAATCTCTTTTGTCGGCGATGTTTGGTACTTTTTGGTTACTGTTGGTTAGATTGGGTCAATGGTAATATGCTCATTTCTGCTTATTTATGTGAATGTGACAGGTATTTGATTGTCGTCTTCATGGCTACTCTCAGTCTGTTATTATTCCTGTAAGCATTTGTGCTCTCACAACCATTGCACTTTCATGGTGGGATTTACTGCATCCTGCACTAATGTAATGTGCTTCCACTTGCATCTTAAACAGACCGAAAGACAGTTCTGCCCTCTTGAGTCTCAAGAAAATGCAAAACCCTGCAGTGACCACTGTTACCTTCAGGTTTACCAACCCAATCTACATTTCACATTCCCTAGTAACTGAGTCACTAGGATCCATCAAAGGGTCTATCTTTTTGCTCCCCCTTTGACTATTGATAAATTGATTGTCATTCATTCGTATCTATTTCTTTATCTATCCCTTCAAAATGAAATTGTATCTCAAATTATTGCAGTTTCAAACTCAGAAGAAGCATTCAGATTGTGTGGATGTCTTAAGTGAGACACACAACAGAACCTCAGATCAGAAGATCCAGACTGGTGTTGATCCAGGTGATGATTACACAAAGCATATTTTTAGAGGCTAGATGCAAGTAGTCTCTCTTTTTTCATATATAAATTTGCTCCTCATTGCTGGCTTTTGAAGGGGGAAAGAGGATTGTTTTAATTACATGTGAACCTGTATCTGTTGGTACTTGGTATGATGGTTTAATCTATGTATGATGACAATACAGGGAAGCGAAAGGTATCAAAACAAACAACCACAGTCACAGTGTTAGAAGAATCAAAAGATGTGACTAACGAGCAGCAAGAATCTTCCCTTAAAAAACAGAAAAGGTTGTCAATTGAAGATACTCGAGTTTGTGATGAAAAAAGCATGGAGATGGATGTTACCGAAGATGAAACAACCAGAAAGGATGAAGCAACTAGTTCTGGCTGTGTTTCAGCAGATGTGATGAAAGATCTGAGTAGTGGAGGAGTCCATTTGTCAAATCCAGTAGTAAATTGTGAATGGAAACCTCTTGAGAAAGAATTATATGTGAAGGGATTAGAGATTTTTGGGAGAAACAGGTACATGATTATTGTTTGTGAAGCATTAATGTTGTTTGTTGTTTGAGGTTGTGTAACATGATTGTGATGGGTTTGCAGCTGCCTGATAACCAGAAACTTACTTTGTGGGTTAAAAACTTGTATAGAAGTAGCCAGTTATATGTATGAGATTGGAGCAGAAACGTCAGTGAATGCATGCTCTATGTTAAATGGCAACGAGAGAGTGGATGCAAATGCTAAGGTCTGGTCTGGTCTGGTTTGGTTTGGTCCTTGTACATAGGGATAGATATGGGCCATGTTGATGTTGTGTTAAACATTAAACATGTTTATGTAGGAGCAAGAGACGGGGTCAAGGTCAAGGCTGCTTCGCAGAAAGGGTAGAGCAAAGAAACTAAAATATTCATGGAAGTCTGCTGGGCATCCCTCCTCAATCTGGAGACGAATTGCTGATGGGAAGAATCAGTCTTGCAAGCAGTATATTCCATGTGGATGCAAATCTATGTGTGGGAAGGAATGCCCCTGTTTAGATAATGCTACTTGCTGTGAGAAATATTGTGGGTATGTATTTGTTGACTATTCGTTTTGGAAATAATATAATAATAAATCATAAATGAGATGATGTTTTAGGTGCTCGAAAAGCTGCAAGAACAGGTTCAGGGGATGCCACTGTGCAAAGAGTCAATGCAGAAGCCGGCAGTGCCCATGTTTTGCTGCTGGCCGTGAATGCGACCCGGATGTTTGCCGAAATTGCTGGGTCAGGTGCAAAATCAAATTGCTCCTTTGATTTGTCTTTCAATCAATCAATATCCTTCCATACTCGACTTTCTTTCTGCATCTTGCAGTTGTGGTGATGGCTCCGTAGGAGAGCCCCAAAGAAGAGGAGAAGGCCACTGTGGTAATATGAGGCTCCTTCTCAGGCAGCAGCAAAGGGTTAGCATCCCTCTGCTTTTGATAATCCTTCACTCTTTCTCTCCATCTCATAGTATATTTAAGACTCTGTTAATTGTATATCTATGGCAAACAATTTGTTATAGTTTTGTGATTATTGTTGTCTTCAGATTCTGTTGGCTAAATCGGATGTTGCTGGTTGGGGAGCATTTCTGAAGGTAGGATAGTTGATATATATATATATATATATATATATATATATATATATTTTTTTTTGGTTTTAAAGTTAAAGTTAAATGGTGTTTTGTTTTTCTCTGTGCCTAGAATTCTGTGAACAGAAATGAGTATCTTGGAGAGTACACTGGTGAATTGATCTCACACCGTGAAGCAGATAAGCGAGGCAAAATATACGACCGTGCAAACTCCTCTTTCCTTTTTGATTTGAATGATCAGGCAAGCAACCAGTTTCAATGCTATTTTGTTTTGAGATTCACAGTTTTGTGGACATTAACCATCCAATCCAATCCAAATCCCATGATATTGGTTTTGGCAACAAGTTGTCATAGTTGGTTGGTTGTTTGCTTGCATGATGCAGTATGTGCTTGATGCTTACCGCAAGGGAGACAAATTGAAATTTGCCAACCACTCATCAAATCCCAACTGTTATGCAAAGGTACCGTATGTGTTAATTTTCCGTAAACCTAAACCTAAACCTAAATCTAAAACCAAATCTAAACTCTAAAGAGAGGTTGGTTGGTTGTTTGGTTGGTGTGTACATGCATGCATAGCAGGTGATGATGGTGGCAGGGGATCATCGGGTTGGCATATTTGCTCGAGAGCGTATAGAGGCTGGTGAAGAACTGTTCTATGACTATCGTTATGGGCCTGATCAAGCACCTGCATGGGCTCGCAAGCCCAATGCTTCTAAACCAGATGACATTTTACTCCCTCAAGCTCGAGCTAAGAAGCACTAATCTCTTTCCATCTTGGTTGCTTGCCTGGAGAGGTAAAAAGTAGCTTATGTAGCTATTCCACGTTGGTGCTGGCATAGCAGTACGTTTGTGCCCCCTATTATATATATATATATATATATATATATATATATATATATATATATATATATGTATGTATGTATTTATGTGCCTTAAGAAAGGTGATATGTATACACGGTAGATAGGCAGCATTTAATAATAATAATAATAATAATAATAATAATAATAATAATAATAATAATAAGGTGGAAATGGGAGTGGGGCAGGCAGAGCATTTGTGATGGCATGGGTGTCTCATTTGTATATATTACTGTTAGGATAAATAAGAGATATGGCAGCGGTGTATGTATTATTGTTGTGATTGAATCTTGTAATGAATGAATGAATGAATGAGGATGTATTGGGTAGAGTTGTTGATTTTGAGTGGGGTGGGGTTTGATAATGTTATTTCCTCCCAAAGTCTCTGTTTTCCTTATTTGTTGTGCTAGAGTTTTATGTAGTAGAGGTGAAAATGGTCTCCATCTTATCTATTAATACCCGGAATAATAAATAATATTACAAACAAGGAAGGTAGGAATTAGCATGGACGTGTTTTGTTTTCCGTTGCATATATAGATATAGTTGGCAGAAGAGTTCGTGGTTTATCATACAAATACAACATAACATAAATGAGTAGTGTAAAAAGAAAAGGAAAAGGAAAAGAGGGTGTGGTGTTGAGATTAAGAAGAAGAAAAAGTGGCTTGGAGAAGGACGTGTTTCTTGTTTGGGTAACCCATGCCAAGTGCGTGATTGATATACACCTTCCCATCCTTGACAAGGGCAGCAGTTGCAATCCGATGCTTAAGCACGGGTGACCTTCCAATCACGGAAGCTGTTGCCCAATCATCCTTGCTCTCCACCAACTTCACACCATTGGCTCCTGCCACAACAAGTTTAGTTCCCCCGGCTAAAAGTTCCATCCCATCTGCAATGCTCAAGCTACCATCAACCTTCACCACTGTAACTTTATTGTTGTTTTTTATTTCAACCTTGAACAGATTTCCGGTCATGGTGTGTGACACCAGTAAGTAGCCATTTGGGTGGTACGCGATCCCGTTCAGGGTCACTATGTCTTTGTACCACTCTTTAGCATGAAATACTGGGCTCCTTATCACCGACAGTAATTCCCCGTCTACCCCAACTTTCCATATTTGTGTACCTTTCGCATCTGTTACGTATGCATTCCCTTCTGCATCAACGGCTACATCATCTGCAAAGCTTTTTCCATCTGCTGCTCACATACAAACAAACAGTTAACATCGCCCCAACTTACAAATAAAATTGATTATTAAAATCCATACGTAATTGATGGGAGTTGGTACAACAAACAAGTCAAAAAAAAAAAAAAAAAGCAGTCGTAGTCGTACATGTGCCACAACACAACTCAAGTCTTGGAAATAACGAACCTCGGCTCAGTTTTTTTCGTTTAAATTAGGTGGGTGGTTGGTGGGCCTACCGAGGAAGGAAATGTCAATTAAATACAATATTACAAACTCCATGTTCGGTGTTCCTTCCTAATTGCTATTTTCAATTAATTATTTAAGCATCCACTTTAACCTAGGTACTTTTCAACAGATGCTCCTCGCCAGGCTGGCTACATTTATATGTCAGATTATTTATTTGTAACAACGTTCTACATTGTCTATACTCTATAGTCTATACTATATGGAATACATGAAATGGCTAATAACCAATAAATATCCTATTTTTAGAAGCACTGCTTGCCTTCAAATTGAAATTTTGCCTATTAAACTTACCATGTTAAGTCCTACAATCCTACTTTGGAATTCACCAAATTTTTTCTTTTCATAATATCTAATCTCAACTCTAAACCAACCCAACAGCAGCAAAAAGTTTTAATAAAACATAAATTAAAATATGAATATTTCAAAAATAATATCGATAACATATATCTTAGCATCTATTGAAGATTTGGGGAAATATTCATAAAATGAGAATTCCTGTTTCTTAGATTGTGGACTTGTTTTTATGCTGTTTCTGGCATATACAATAGCATTCAATAACAACCTTCGATTCTCGGAAATGGCATTATCCGTATTACTTTTTTTTTTTTTTTTTTTTTTTTTTTTTTTTTTAATCTAATAATTGTAACTTTCAGTGGATGATTCAAAACAGTTTCAGAGTTTTAAGGACGAAAGTATTAAGTAAGTGTTAACAGAAACAAAAGAGAGGAGGAGATGATCAGTAGTCAGTACCTGAGGAACTAAGCTGTGTGAAAAACAAGCGTTTCCATGAATCCATATCATAGGCCGCAACAGCACTGTAAGTGTTTCCAAAAACATCGGCGATGGCCACCACCACCCGGTTCCTCGGCCGGTCAATGAAAAGGCCACAGGTCCCGTTCCCAACGGCGTCGGTATTCTTCACGACAGGGATCTCTTCAAGGACGACGTTGTCGTTGGGGTTATGATCATCAGGAACATTGACCACGCCAAGACCGCCGCCGTCCGTGAAGGAAACGATGAAACGACGTTTGACTTCGTCCCATTTGCTGGATTCTCTGAACCAACCGGTGCTGTGGAACTGGTAGTAGTGGCTGCTCGGAGTAGCTGATTCCAGGGATATGATGATGGCTACAGGGATCGCCGATAGGACCAGAAGAAGCAACAAAAACCTGGTCGAGCAAAAAAAGGACGCCATTGGAATTGGAATCGGAATGAAGAAGCCCGAAGCTAAAATACCCGAATCTTTATACTAATAGCCAGGATACACAAACAAAGTGTGCACGGGTAGAGTAGGTCTTCACTCTTCACCAGAACACCGTAAAAGATGCTAATTAAATTACAAATATTGTCCCTAAATTACTCTCAAAATGCATATTTCTTTTTAACGTAATAGCCTTTTCATACATTTAACCATCTTTATATCCCACATTCCAACCCATCTTCTCTTTTTCAATATTCATGTCTATAAAAAAGAAATTATTGATGTCATTTGTCTTTTTTTTTTTTTTTTTTATTATTAATAATTTTTTATTTCTTTTTACATATTCTTTAAAAATGATGTATATTTTTTTCTATGATTTTACATTAAAATTTAAATTCTTTTAAATCCCTTAAAATTAACATTATTAATAAAAAATTTGAAATTCAAAAAGTTTTGTAATCAATTACTTGGAAAGAAATAATCAGTTATAAATAATCTTTTATTCCACTTATTTTGTTCTCATTTTTTTTTTACATTTTTATAAACATACTTTATAAATTTGTTATATATATATATATATATATATATATATATATATATATACACACACACACTTTATAAACAATGTTTTTTTTGTATTTTTCATGGTTTTTTAACCACTAATTTTTTAAGACGCATTAGGCTATTAAATTAACTGATAATTTATGATTGATTCGGTTTGAGTGAATACTCGAGTTTTGATGGGGGAGAATACGAAAAACAAAGATATTTTACCTAAAGAAGCTTTGTTTATGTTAGAATAAAGGTCTTCCACACTTGGTCAAAATTGGATGGCGGAGGGTGTAACATTTTATTCAAGAGATATGTTTTTTTTATTTTTTTTTAATTTTTTTTTTATTTGTTTCAAAAGAGCAAAAGCTTGTCACGTCCAGTATATAAAGGACACATTTTTATACGAACTTTATGGTATCGTTGGCTCAATCTTGATGCTATGATTATCAAGAAAAAAGTAAAGCATCCATGTTTATTTATAAATATGTAAATGAAAATATATAATCTAAAGCATCCATGTTTATTTATAAATATGTAAATGAAAATATATAATCTAAAATTGGTTGTATCTAGACAAAATTGCAAAAATGGTCCTTTAGCTGGTAAATTTATGTGTTTTTTGTTCAAAATAAAATGTTGGTGCATTACTGGTCCAATTTTAAGTACTTTGTGTGGTTTTGATCCATATGGTTTTATTTTCTTGTGTTTTTGGTCCACATCCCACCTAAAATGACTAATACGCTCCTTAAATAATTATATTTTAATTTCTTTTATTTATTTTCTTATTCTTATAAAAAAATGAAAAACAAAAACAAAATAAACCCACCATACACACACATAGTCTCTCTCTCTCTCTCTCTCTTCTTTTTTCTATATGTCATCCTCCCAACCGGAACCTCCACCACCAAAATCAAATCAAACCCACAACACCACCACCACACCTTCTGGAACATTAGCTTCATTGGCATGACTTCATCGGACCACCCTTAATACCCTTCTTTTGACCTAGATAGTGCTTAAATCATGCATTGGACATGTATGATTGAAAAACTATGATTTTTATGGTCTCTAGGTTCGAGAAAGGCATTCTGTAAAGTCCCAATGAACGTCTTAATGGATTAAGAGCTTAATGCTTAAATTTGGTCTGAATTGATCTCACGTCGTGAGAAATGGAACCTCATGACGTGAGTTAGGCGATTGCCTTGATCTGAGAATCTTGTTGTATGAGTAAAGCTGAGTCGACTCACTGAGTGAGTTCGAGGCGTGTCTGTTCTCACGACGTGAGCCTTAATACAACGTGAGGGTGAGCTAAGGGAGAAAGTTGACCTTTGACCCCAGGCGTTGACTTTTGACCTGAGTTGACTTTTTGGCCAACTCTTGGTTTTGAAGGGCAGATCTAAGGTTTTTCTTGTACCATTATCTAGGTGTGGAGTAGCACTGGTGTAGCTGATAGAGAGAGCAACAGTAGTTGATTTTGGATCTAGAGGTGAGTTACCTTCACTATATCCATGGTTTAAGGGCACCAATGTCGTCCTACTAGTTGATGTTTATAGTAAGATGATTGTTTGGAATGCCAATATTTGTTGATGTTTCTATGGTTATTTGATTATGATATTATGTGTAGTGGTAGGGGTGAAATAGACCTGATATCTGGTTGAAATAGACCGAAGGGGATTGCAAGCACCCATATATGCTTAATAGTATTAGGTTGAAATAGACCAAATGGGATTGCAAGCACCCAAATATGCTTGAAAGTATCCGGTTGAAATAGACCGAAGGGGTAGGCGAGCACCAAGATATGTTTGGCAGTATGTGTGTTTAGTATGTGGCATTTTGGGGGAACTCACTAAGCTTTGTGCTTACAGTTTTTAGTTTATGTGTAACACTCTAAAATTTCAAACAAAATTTTCATTTTTAAATCACATAAAATCAGTATCATATTTTCTCAAAATCACAATGTATCAAATGTCAAAAACATGATTTAACAAAACAACTGATAATATCCTAAAATCCTCGACATAGTCTCGAACATGTGTGAACAATCAAGTCGGTGTCTTCCCGCGAACCTGAGAAGTACCTGAAACACATAACACACAACAGGGTAATCACGAAGCTTAGTGAGTTCCCCAAAATACCACATACACAAATAATAAGCCTTTCATGGCTATAACTCGGCATGGACCCTCCGGTCTCATGTGTCTCGGTGAGGAACCTCTGGTCTCACGGCTCGGTGTGGACCCTCCGGTCATGTGTCTCAGTGAGGACCCTTCGGTCTCACATCTCGGGTTGGAACCTCCAGTCCTATATCTCTGTGAAGACCCTCTGGTCTTACAACTCGGTTTGGACCCTCCGGTCCTATCTCAATAAAACACGGAATAATATAACATATATCACAAAGATAAAATGCACAATATCACATAACTCAGTATAAACAAATATGACCCTCCAGTCGATAACTCAATAAGACCCTCCGGTCACACAATATTACCGCTTAGGTAAGTATAGAGAAGACTCACCTCGGAAGTAAGCAAGTGGATCTAACACCCCACAAACAGTCTAGACTCCACCTACCGAATATAATTATCTCTAATAAGCAATTTGTAATAACCACTTCGAGATGCTAAGCTAACCCCTCCACTAAATCTCACAAAAGGTGAAAATACCATTTTACCCCTCCATGGTCTCTAAAGTCCACAGTTGTCCAAACCCTAAAAGTCAAAGAAAGTCAATGCCTAAGTCAACAGTCCATGATGACTAAAATCGTCGAGTGCATCTACGCGACTTGTCGAGTTCCCTCGTTTTCTCAGAAGTATCAGGAAAATCCAACTTAACTCGTCGAGTTGTCTCATCAACTCACCGAGTTGTGGCGTGTTCAGTCTATCGGGGAAAACCCTAGCTAACTCATCGAGTTGGCTCATGCACTCGTCGAGTTTTTCTAAACAAATTCTTATTTAGACAATTCTAAGCAGAAATAATGTACCAAACTCTAGATCTAGCCTCCCAAGGCTGAAATATCACGTAAAGTTGCAAGCTTTATGTCCATGCATGACATCTAGAGCTCGAAATGTCAACACAAGCTCTATTTAGGGTTTAATGCATATAAACTTGTCACCAGCTTGATAAAGCTTGGATCTTTGGGCTCAAGGGACTAAATATGGTCTAGATCTGGGATCTCAATTCCATGGCTAGCTCAAAACACTTTAGAACTCAAGAAAGGATGGAAAAGACCCTAAACTTATTAGGAAGGAGATCTAACCAAAACAATGAGCAAGGTTGAAGCCTTTTACCTTCAAACTGAAGCTAGCACTGAAAAACACTTGATCCAAGAGCCTCTTCTCGTTCCAAGCCTTGATGCTCTTCACTCCTCTTCCAAATGTGCACTAGAACACCGAAAGTTAGCTTTTTTTTTTTCTCTCTCTCTCTCTCTCTCTCTCTCTATCACACACACACACACAAATGAATACACTCGATTAGGGTTTCTCACAAAGTATAAGGGTGATAAGGGAGGCGGATTTCCGGTCAAGGTCCTTTAAATAGGACACAAACCCTGAAAATTAGGGTTTTCTCACTCAACACCTACTCGTCGAGTTGGGGTGCTCCAACTCGTCCAGTAGACTCTAAATCACGCAGCCAACTAACTCCTCTACTCTGCGAGTTGGGGCATCCAAATCGTCGAGTTGCTCTAAAATTATGAAAGTAAATTAATTAAATATTATACCTAGGATTCGGGATGTTACATTATGTTTCAGGTACTTCCATGTAACATCCTAAAATACGACTCAATTTTTTTTTTGTTTAATCATTACTAAAATCATTAGATCAATACCATATAATAAAACCCATACGTCTATGTATCAAAACTATAACAAAGTATCACAAGAAAACTGTATCAAGACTGTATCAAATCATGTCAATGAAAAGCTAATCAACTCCCATGACAAAAACTGAAGCCGTGGTGTGTGCGATGCCATCATCCCAAGCTCTTCCCTTTACTTGTGGAAGTACCTGAAACCAAAACTGAAACTATAAGCTGTAACGTCATAAATTCCGAAACCAAAAATTTTTCATTTTTACAATCATCAAAACATTGAGTAATAAGTTTAGGTTCCAATGTAACACTTTAGTCACGACCGATTACATCACAAAAGATCACAAAATGGTTTCCCCGAGTGTGTGTACGATCACACCGGCGCCTTTCCACGGTCCTCGCTAGTACCTGAAACACATAACACAACCACTGTAAGCATAAATGCTTAGTGAGTTCCCCAAAATACAACCTACGCACGTACGCCTTTCCAGGCCTTGACCTTCCGGTCCATGTGTCTCAGGGGACTTCCGTCCCGACTGGGTAAACCTTCCGGTCCTACCCACATCAACCTTACGGTCCATATGACCACGCCTTCCGACCCATAACATGTTGCCTTCCGGACCAAATCAAGCATATCATACATGGCACATATAACGAATAACTTATCACACATAAGACATATATCTCATATCATATTTGACCTTCTGGTCACACAGTCAAACCCTTCCGGGTACAGTATAGTGAGAAGACTGACCTCGTATGCCTTGCTAATCGTGAACCCTGGAATCACTCGTGCTCGAACCCTCGAGCTGTAATCCTCCTATGATATCATGAATCTATAATTATTATTTGTACCGGCTAAGGTTGACCATCCATATCAAGTCAACATA